TAGTAAAGACTGGTCAGGAGAGTCTGGACCTGGTCGGAGTTGCCCCTCATCAGTCCCTGGCCACTCAGGTGGTTCTAATGTTTCCTTTAAGAATTTTGGGCACATTGACTTCTGAGAGTCTCAGAAGTCTGGGCCATTCCAAATGGGCCATTCCATCTGGCCATTCCAGGCAAAAGAGGAGGAGCTGGGCAGGGATGTTCTGCTATGGACCCGATGACAGTGTCCTCCTACTGCCACCTTGTCCTTTCCAGGGAATGGCATGCTGCTCCCTCTGCTAGGACATTGTCCAAACTAACACAGTGCTGCTTTCCTCAGATCAGGCCTATTCATTTCTTTAGTCAATGCCAGAATGTGCAGATAAACTTTTAAGTTACCTCACCTGTTAGGTATCAAATGAATAATGCCTCAGATATCTTGAATGAGCAACTAGAAACAAATATTTATTTGTTATATATAGTATTTGCCTCCAAAAGCATGAGAATTAGAAAATCCAAATTTGAATTAAATTCTCCTTGAGCCTCCCAAAGGACAGCCACACATTCCTTACTGCTTTTCTCATCTCTAAGACCAGAACCTTGAAATCTGACTGAAGCAAGTGGGTCAGGCAAGTGAAGCAGTGCCTGAGGTTGCACCACACCAACGAGGCTGCATATGGCAGGGAGGCTGGGAAGCCTGTGGCACACACGCCGTCACTGTCCATAGTGGGCCCAAGTGTTCCTGCATTCAGGGGGAGAATCAGGCAGTCTGCACTAGATGGTGAGCTCCCCAAAGCAAGGGCCTTTGCATTTCCTTGTTCTCATTACCGTTGGGGCTCACAGAGTCTACAGAGCAGAGAGCACACTCAAAGGACAGCTACAGTCGTTGCCGTGACCGAAGGCATTTTTTTCAGTACCAAGAAGCAAAGCTTCATTCCCTTTGCCAGGGCTGGCTTTCAAAGATCTTTCTCTAGCCACCAAAACTGTCTTTCCTTTCTAACTTTGCTTCCTCCACTTTTAGGTTTTTTTCACCTTTCTTTCTGTAATAGTAGCAACTAAAGAAAGAGTGGGGGGATGAAGCTTCTAAACATTTGTAGAAAAACATGAGAAAATAGTTCTTTAAAATCTTACATAACCCCAGTCTGCTGTTGACCCCTGTCCTCCAAGGGGCAGGTATTTGTGTGAAATGCAAATATATCTTATATAACTGGCCTTTCTGGTGGCCCTTGTTGGCAAGGTATTATGATAGTCTCTTCATAGGTACGAGCTGAGTTCATGCACTAGGAAAATGCCTTCACTGGACAGGGACTGGGACGGTCACACATGTCTCCATTTTGAGTCAAATGACATCAAAGACAAACTGTACAGTTTTTAAAAGTTTAGATAATAAAGGAATTTGCATATTTTAATGCTTACACATATTGCTTTTAAAAATTCAGCATTCAGAGTGGTAAATGCACTTAAAATGACTTTTAACCGGGAGCCCCTTTCAGGCAGTTTTTGTAATGCTTCCTGCTTGCAAGAATCTCTCAGAGCAAGCAGTAAGTTCTTTACTTTATGCTGTTTGTATAGCATACTTTTAGAGGCACCAAGTCTGGTTTAAACCCTTACTATAGCCCTATTTGTTTGGTTACATATTAAACATATCTTTTCTATCATCAATGTATCTTTCTAGCTGCTAAACATAAAATAGACTCCTAGCTCCCCAAATTGAAATGTCATCTTCCTAATCAAAACTGACAGTTGTAAATAACCATCTGGTTGGGTTTTTTTTTTTAATGTCCTATTCTCACAAACATATTTTCCAACAGTGTCATATGTATTTAAAATGGTGAGCTCAAGCTAATCACCTCAACTTCAGGTTCTCAAAGAAACTGACAGTATCTCAGTTTTGAAATGGAGATCCTGTTACTTGTCTGCCTTTCAACATAGTTTGACACCAAACTGTGCCATGTCATTGTTATAGTATACTAAATAAGAGATGTGCTTTTTAAAATTTTTTGGTCATTTTTTTCTGTCCCAATAATACACATTTTGCAGCCACAAAATATTCCAACTCCAACTCATTTTTTGAATAAGCAACTTCTGTTTGCTTCTCTTATCATTTGGGTTTGCATACTGTTGAGAAACAAAACAGCTACATAGTTTATTTACTCCTACAGTTAAACATATTTTTAAAAGTAAGAATATGAAATAAAGTGTTACTTGTCAATGCTGCTTTCTGAGAGGCAGGGAGAAAACAGAGTTAGGCTTTCCATTGTGTGCAGACTTTCCACACCCCCTCGGCTCCCATCAGGAAAATATGTCTGTCCCGTGATCTATTCAGTTCTTGACCTTTTGACTAATATGCCAACAAAAGGCACCATTTATTAGTGGTTAATATATGGATCTTTGTCCATAAGGAACTGGATCAAGGCTGTCACAACTCTGCCTCATCCCTAGTATATTTTCCATTTGCCTTTGGGTGATGGGCCCTGGGCGTGGCTACACAAACAGACCCTGCCACATTCACCCCGAGTTCCCCCAAAGACCACAAGCAAGAGTTCATCGGGAACATGACTTGAGAATTCAGGGGATTTTACATTTAAAGATTAGCCAAAACCTCCTGAGATAGTCTTGCCCTTCCAGTTAGACTCTTGGACCTCCTTGTGTTTCTTAGATACATTCTCCGTTATCTGCCTCCGTTATCGCAGTGTCACCGAGCTCTTCCTGTGCTGTTGCCTTGACTCCCTTTTTACTTTACCAGTCCTTTTTTAAATATTTTGAACCAAGTTCTCACTATGTTGCTGAGTTGTCCCTGCTGGGTTTGAACTTTAGATCTCCTGCCTCAGCATCCTGATTTTGTTGCTCTTTATCCTGGCCCCTTCAGATTTTCTTCCTTAACATCTTTTCTCATGCTTGTAACCAAAAGCAACCATCTTTGTCCTTTCTTCTCTCTAAATTCAACTCAGAGACCCTGTCCTCTTGGACAGCTCCTGAGGCAGAGCTAGACCCTGTGTTCTTCCTTACTACAGCCCTCTTTTCTCAGACCACCGTGTCAGTCTTTCAGAAAAGCCTGCTTAGTCTGGGCGTGGTGGTGCAAGGCTGTAATCCCAGCACTCAGGAGACTGAGTCAGGAGTGTCATAAATTCGAGGCTAGCTTGGCTACATAGTAAAATTCAAGGTCGATCTGAACTACACAGTGAGACCTTGTCTCAAAATAAATAAATAAATAAATGGGCAATTTAAAAAAAAAATATCTGCTTATTTTAACATGTATTTGTCTATGTTTTTGTTTTTTAAAAAGTATATGTGTCATTTTACTCAGAAACAATAGGCCAAGATCCGTTTTTCAAAAATCTTATCTCCTATTTGTTTTATATTATCAACATTTTAAAGTCATGTTTATTTTCATGAAAAATTAATATACTTCACAGCTGTAGGTCTCATAATACATTTCTTTTTAAAAATCAGTAATGTTTCTTTTTGCCACCAACAGGAACTAATCAAGGCCATTCACTTTTTCTGTGTTTTAGAAGGTAATCATGTTTCTCTAAGAGGTTTCTGGAAAAATCCAACAAAAGCACTATTTGTCTATGATGTGTACGATTATAATTGTTATATTTCTTCTGGTCTGAATCACTCTCCAGTTTATTGAAATGTCCTGAATAACTGAGGATACAATGTTTGATTACCATTTTAACCTCTAATATTTTATATGTAAAATAGGTAAATATTTTAGGGGCATATTTGAAATATAATTGAACTAAGTCCTCCCTCCTGTGATACACCAAGTTCCTATACTGCAGTGCGGTCCTTTGTATCTTCAGAACTACAATTTTTGTGTGTGTGTGTGTGGTACTAGGGATCAAACTCACGCCCTTGCGCTTGCCAGGCAGGTACTTATGCCACTGAGCTAAATTCCAGAACCACATTCCTGACCCTTGGCTCTTCCCTGTGCTCCTTCTTTCACAGATGAAAAGGACAATGGGGCAATAATGACACACCTATGGGGGGAGTGATGTCATTAGAGATGTGAGCGGATGCAGCAGAAAGTGTGGAATGACCATGTATAAAGGGGAAAAATGCAGACTTCATGAAGTCTGGATGGAAACAAAGGGCGTTGTTTTTTGCCCAGCCCCACAGTCACTATAATTCCTTCAGACTTTTCTCAGTCCACGTGCAATCAGGGATCTCTCATCCAGATGGTTTGACATTGACTTTCCAGAGTGGAGGAGAGGATTTTGGATACAGGTCCTGAGATGTCCCGAGGCCACTCCAAGACTCCCCTGGTAGCACAGGGGTGATGTGCAGGCTCTTGGTGGCTGAGCCTCTGCCAGGGTGTATAGGCACCCCATTGTGGCTGCTTTGCCTCCCTGGGTTTGGAGATCCTGAAACTAGTAGCAGCACCAACTCCTTAGGAAGCCACATCTAAGAACAGTCATGCAGAGCTTCAGTGGTTACTTATGCATGGCCATGGCAGAGAGAGCACTTTCCTCCTACTCCCATACCTCAACAGGAGCAAAGAGAATAATTGTAGATAGCCAAATGCTTGGATCACTAACAGGATCTACAAGTTTACCATCTATGCAAAAACAGCAAAGATACAGGGATGGGTTAAGTCTCTTATTTCAAACTATATCCAATAACTACATGGAACCTGCTATCTGGTTTGACAATAGACTATTCCTTCTGAGTATGCCATGCTGTGCCGAACTCTAGGCCCGAGAAAACACTCTGTGCAGTAGTCAGATGGAGAAGAGAGCCCCTGCCTTGAAATGTCTTGTAACTGAGATGAACTCACTGTCATTTACTCTGTTGTAAACTCTGTTTCTTCATATTCGATTAATTTTCCTCAGTTCCATGCTGGGATTTGATATTTTTTTGTAATTGTCACCAGTCCTACGTCTCAGCAAGATCATGTAAAAATGTTAAGCAATCGTGTCTTCTAACAAGCATTCAGTGAAAATGCCTAGACAGGTGTGTGGGGCTTTGGGAGAAACTGCAGAGAAATAACCGGCCTGTTTATCTGTTTGCATGACTCAGTCAACTCCGGAGATGGCATCGAGTACAGCCAGCAGAAGAGAGAGAACATCGGGGACTTGATCCAGGAGACGCTGGAAACTTTTGAGCGCTATGGAGGGGAGGACGCCTTTATCAACATCAAGTACATGGTGCCCACCTACGAGTCGTGCTTGCTGAACTGACATGGGAGCAGCTGCAATGAGAGGAAGACTTCCCTTGGTGCCTTGGTCATCTGTCTCTGCAGCTTCCAGCATCTCATTACTTGTGACTTTTACAGCTTTCTTTCTACATCTGCTAGAATAGTGGCGTCTGGGCCATTGGACTGTTAGCCCTTTTGAGAGCAAGGCTTTCCAATACATAAATAGTGCCTGTTTCTTAGATTACAATAGTGTACTGTGCTTATTTGTTCTACAAGAAGAATTGCTTCTTTATACAGCTTGGTTGGAGGCATGAGTCCGAGTTAAACCTTCAGTTGTATAGACAATAAAACTATAATTTTCATACGCAATTCAGCAATTGCTGTGCCGTGTCTGCCTGCCCTGAGGGTGATGTCAGAGGCTGTAAGGGAAGAGTTTGTGCTGACTGCTTAATAGGTGTTTGTCATGGAAGAGAAGCATCAGTTCAGCAGTGCCTCTCTAGCAGCTGTGCGGAATAATGTGCTTTGACATTCAATAAAACTGTTGAATCTATATTCCAATTACACCAGGAAATTTTTGTAGCTCGTAATAACCTGAGCTATAAATGTAATTAATGCTCCTAGCCTACCAGTGATCTGGGCTTTAGGACTTTTCCAGTTTATATTTGGGTGCAGGTGGGGAGGCTGGAAGAGGATGGGATCAAGGTTAGGTATAAAATATCTTTGCAAACATAATTTTAAATGCAAAGCTAGCTGAAATCCTTGTCCTGCCATATTATGACTGACCACATCCCGGGACCTGGTATGTTATTGAGAAAATGTTACCCAGTAGTTTGTTTAAAGCTTTTCATCACTCTTGGAAATAGTTCTTATATATCTTAATGATGACCAGTATCAAAAATTTTCATTGGCAGCTCTTCTATCCCTTTGTTTCCTCCTGTTAACTCAACAGTTCTCATAGCACTGCTCATTGGGTCTGGTGACAAGCCACCAGATTGAAGGGAAAAAAAAGACAAAACACGTACTTTTTTTCACTAAAAAGAAATAGGTGCTCAAAACACAGCCTTACAACAGCTGCTCAGGCACGCCAGGCCTGGAGCTTGGAGCACTTGAAACACAGCCCAGAAAACTTCATAAAGACAAAACACTGACTTTGTACACCTGAGAGATGCTATAAATGCCCAGAAATCTGTAGCCTCAAGTATCTCATTTCCATAGCAAAGTGCAATTTCTGCTTAAATATGAAGAAATGAAATGCGTTCTTCCATTCACTGAGTTGTGGCCTTGACATTATTGTCACTAATTATTTAAGGCACTAGTTTCCAAAGGCACAATCCTATTTTGTAAGCTACTTCAACATTCGTTTTCCCTCATTACTGGCCCAGCATATGAGTTCTGGTGTCTAGATATGATCACCTGGCTCCTATAAGCACTTTCAGGGTCCATGTAAAAGTGTGATCAGTAGATCAAACAAGCTACCATGTATAATATTTAGAAAAGATGTAGCTGGACTAGATATCAACAGATTAAGGTGACATTTTCTCCAAATTGTGATGTCTATATCTCTTCATCTGGTGAAGCCCTGCTGTTGGTGATATGATCAAAGAGGACATTGAAGTCTCTGATACAAACCAATAGGTTTAACTATAGTTTTTTGGCACCTTTGGAAGTCTATACCGTAATAGCCACCTTCAGGGCTCTTCTGTTAAAACACACAGAGGCTTTCCATCACACACATGGCTACCGGTATGAAGTAACAAGGTTCAACCAAGAGCCCTAATTTTGGCCTGGAATTAAAGCACCAGGCTGCATTTGCCAGTTCTGTCACTCATTAGCTGAGCCAACTTGGGGATATTAATCTCTTTGAGCCTCAGATATCCTCAATTATGAAAGACAATTTCCCTGATCCGCAATAGCACTCTAAGCCACTGAGGTAAGGTGTATAAAGTGCCAGCATAGTTTCTGATACTCACTGAAATTTTATGTCAAAAAGTAATAGCACCCTGACAGAGGAATATACATTCAAAGGCACCAGCCATGTCTGAGGAAGCCCTGACAAGCCAGGGGGTGGTCTCTGGCCCCTTCACAGGGTCAGGTGAGGACACCCAGACTTTCATAGCCACCATGATCTGAGTATACAGAAGAAACAACAGTCTGAAGTACAGATATAGAAAACTGTAAAATGGCTTTATGTTCTGAAAAATGCTATTGTCAAAACCGAAGATCTACTAAACAAACAAGCAACCCCTTGTGCCCTCCTGGGGTTTTGTTATATGAGGTCCTGGAGAAGAGTCTACGAAGGCCGTGGGAGGTGTAACTTAGAGAAACAGAGGTGGAGGAATTCTAAGTTTGTCTCAACACCCACTGCATCTCTTACTTCTTTTGGTTATTTTGAAATGTTTATCTCTAGTTCTTTGCAAAGCAAAATCTAGGAAGTGCAAAGACAGGTGTTACAGAAGCAACACACTGGGGAGACATCATGAACGCTTTCCAAGTACACAGTTTTCTCCCACAGGAGCTGAAATCGAGCCAGGAAGGCTCAAATATTTTTTGTACAGTTATGTCCATGAAAATTCCCCTTTTATAGAAATGGGCCCATTCACCACAAATTCAGCAAACACTTGCTAGCCAGGTTCCCCCTCAACCGGTCAAGTTGTGTCCACTGTACATCAGGTGGGAAGGGTGTCAGTACTCACAGCACACTGGCCTTCCGAGAGGCAACGCTTTCCATAGCCCACCATTTCCACCCCAACGTCCCATCAGAAGGACATTTCCAAGCACAACAACTCTATTTCTTGTAAAATAACACATTTGAAGTGAAGCTTTCTGGTTATCCTGGGTGCAAAAGACCTGGCATTTCTTTGCCCTGTAAGGAACCTGAGGATAGTGTTCTCCCATGTTCCAGGGTAGAACAGCTACTCTGAGATAGGCGTTACTCCCACTGCCCCAGTTTTATTTGTAATCATGATATTTCACCACAAAAGACACTATGAACATCCTCTCTGCAGAGGGTAAAAGGAAGTGTACACGTATACTTGGTTTAATCAAGAGCACTTCCCACCAGGAAACTACATCTTAGTATTGAATCCAATTCTAAAAATATGTCCCAACATCCACTGCCTTTTGCAGTCTCAAGCATGTGAATGTGGACACACTGGGCAGAAATGGGAGGCTCATGCTTGGTCTGTGTCTTAACTACTGACACTAGTTGACCCACTGGTTCAGGGACTACTGGTAACACTAAAGAGGAACACAACGGCTGTAAAAAGAAGTGTGCTTCAGCGTGTCTCTCCCGAATCCGCTTGGTGAGAAGTGATTTTTAGCATTTTTGCTCACCGTCTTAACCAGTCTCAAGTCTCAGTATTGATGTAGCTTGGTTCTCCGTGTAGGTTGGCAATTAGCCAGCTCTCATATCAGTAGCTAATGACCTGGACAGATGTGTGATTGAAACCAGTCTTTGCACACTGCCTCATTTGCATTTCTCTGTTTTAAGGGTTGGTTTTTGCTTTCTCCAGTGGGAATATTTTTAAGATATTTGGATTCTTCATTCATTTTAGTTTGCTAAGTTTCTGTATGTTTAAATCCAAGTAAAAGGACTTATTTTCTTCCTATGCTTGATAAGTCTGAGAATTTATTTCTTTAGTTTCTTTTTTATTTAAAAATTATTGAGAAATATTGCCTAGTCTTGCCTTAGGAGTTCATTGTAAAGTATGCACACTCTACCTAGATAAGTGAACATTACAAACAGTACTGTAACAGTCATTTCAGGCCATTTTCAGATGTTCCAATTCAATCCATGCACAAAGGGACACAGGTTTGAATCTCCTGCACCCAACCAACTAAGAAATGGCAGGGCTTAGGATATAGCTCAGTGATATAAATGCCCACCTGGTAAGTGCAAGGTTCTGAGTTCAATTCCTGCTACCAGAAAGAGAAAGAGAGAGAGAGAGAGAGAGAGAGAGAGAGAGAGTACTTCCATCAAGAGACAGGGAGAATGAATGTCCTTGTATAAAGTCACAAGGTAAACTGAGGACAGATTTGAAGGATAAGCCTGTTGTCATGGAATGCTCATTAATATGCAGGCTGGCTGTTCCTTCTTGCTCTCCTGGATCCCTTTGCTAATCTTTCAGCAGGACCCAGGTTCTGCATCAGTCTTCTCTTTCTGCTTTTACCAATGTCCTAAGTTGTCCTATCCAATCGCCCATCTTCACCTGCCATCTATTTACCACTGAATCTCAAATTTAATCCTGGATGCCAGCTGCCCTAGAGCCCACTGGACATTTCCCCCAGGATGTCCAAGACGTTTATCAAGCCAGATGTATAAGACCCCATCCCCTGATGCCCACCACAATCTGCTCTGCCCCAACCCTGGAGATGCTGCTGTCCAATTAGCAGGTATCCAGCCACCTGCAGGCTCAACTCAGAAGCTTAGAATCACTCCTGATCTCTTTGTTATACATCCACACCCAAATCCTTGCAAGACTTATGTGAAAAGCTTTTTAAATAAACCATATTTGCCACCCTCTAGCTCCTTCCTCTTGCTCTAGACCAAGTAGCTATTTTGCCTGGCTAAGCTCTCCCTGTGGGCACCCTCTTTCAGGAGTCAGTAACTGTCAAAGCTCCACTTCTCTCACTGTGGCCCATGTGCTACCTACGTGAGCCTGTGGTGAATCTGAGCTGCTCCAATCTTGTGAATGTTGGTTCCATGAGAACTAAGCTTTGCTAAGACAGGATTGGTGCACAGAGAGCCCTCATTAGATATGTATTAGATAAATAACTGAACACATTTCCATAACAGCATAGATGAGCCCACTGTCAAGCCAACACACAGAGAGCAGTACGGGATACTGCTGTACCCAGTAGACCCTTTCCCACCCATCTCTCTGTCTCACAAAACACTGGACTACTGGAGGGTCACCTGTCTCAAAGTTAGTGCTATCTTGAAGAAGGAACTGCCAGTCATTAAGTTCATTAAAGATGCTCTGAGTTCAGACAATACAAGAGGGTGCTACTGTCATGGGCAGGAGCATTTATTATTTTGTTTAAACCAAGTCAAAGGAAAGTAATTTAACTACCCCCTGAAGTTCCTGGAAACACAGGCTCATCTGATCAGGCAGACAAACGTCTTCAGTGTGCACAGTGCAGGCATTTCTTTGGCACAGGAGGCTGCCCTGCAGATGCACTGTCTCTCCCCAAACTTCCTGACAGGTACTCCAGGGGAACTACACAGGCTCCATAATCAGCTAGCCTCCATTAGCCAAGGTAGTCAAGGTCCCTTTCCAACACTCCCTAATAATACACGTGTTCCCTGGAGAGGACTTTGAGCACATGTGGGCCTGACTATCCATTTAAACCCACATTCTCACGCAGTAGCTCAAGCATCCTAATCCTTTCAACAACCATAGTTACAGACCTGTGGTTCTCAAGGTTGATCAACAAGATTTTCATCAGGGAACTAAGGAGGAATGGAAGGTTTAGACACCCTGTCACTGGATCAGAAACTCTGGGGTGGGCCTATCAGTGCTCCATGTGACTGGTGTACCTTGAGCAGTTTGTGAGCTACTGTCCCAGACCATGGCTTCTGTCCCAATATTAATTCTCAACCCTTTGGAAAGCCCAGATAAGCTGAAAGTCAATGATCCACAGCCAGGTTTCCATTGATCCTATTTTCAAGCCTGGCCACTCTTGCAATTTTCCATTAAGCAATAGGACTCTTTAGGGAAATTAATCTAATGTAGACTTGGGGAATAATAGGAAAGCTTCAACTTCCCTCATCACAAAGATAACCAAATTGTGCTCAGTCTAAAGAATGAATAATAGATGTGCCTTAGTAAAACATGGTTTAAATCAATTAGCAGAAAGCCAATGGTAAATATCTATCATCTTTGCTTTAAATAGGATCAGAAAAAAAAAAGCATATATGTTTCATTGTTCCACATAGTATCTGTGAATATTCTCTGTAATTGTCAACTTTATGCTTGAACTTCAAAAAAAAGGAGCAGTTATACAGAAAGGGAACCTTCTAATGAATGCTTAAAACACAAAGAACTTAAATCAGTGAAAACAACTCACGTAAGACTTTGTTTACCACAACTCTTACTTCCTGAGGAAGATGTCTATGTTAATATTTCCCTTTGGCCATGGATTTAGGATTCTGTGGGTTAGCGAAAGCCACCTACAGTTCAAATTATGTCCATATACGGTGGTGGCCACGTGGCATTTGATTCAGTGAGACGCATAATAGGGACATTCTCCGGGCAGAGCCTTAATGCCTTTGTGTCTCCTCTTTCATGCAGCCAGCCTTACATTAAAATGCAGCCAGAAAAATGTCCCATAAAGGACATTATTGACAAAAAGGTAAATTTTTAATAAGCTTTCAGTAGGCTTTATTCAGGAGAGGTACTATGTCATGTGTGTAGGATTTTTATGGCCCTCATTGGAATTCCCCATATTAAAAGAATGTTTTCAGTTTAGAGAGAACCCAACTGCAAAACATTCCTGAACCATGACAGTTTTTGCCCCCATCCAACATTATGTGGTATATCTTTGTTTGCTGAAGGAATAGTGAATACCTTCTGCTGGAGTGATTTTCCTTTTAGTTCAGATCTAGACAGTCAAATGTATTAAAATGCATTGGAAAGGCATAGGTGTAGTCTTTTGGACATGTTTAAATTACAAAGTGTCACTAATGCAGCAAAGGCCACATATTTAATAAATACCATAACACCTCACAAAAGAGGCTGGGCAGTTCTGTCTAAAGAAAGATTTTCTCTAGAAAATAGCTGCAGGAATCTAAAGAACAGCTCCAAGGCGCAAAACCCCTCTGACTTCCAGCAGCTACAAAGCCACTGGGCCACTCTTGGAGTCTGGCTTTCCCGCCTCTACAGTTGGGATAGAGGTAGGAAGTGGTGATATTTGTGAAATGCACGGGATTATACAAGAGTGGGGACTTGTAAACACTGTTCTCACAGCAGATCAAATACTGTGCCATTTGTCCAAAAAGCAATTAAAATCTGCATCCCAATATTTGTTCTTAGCAGGGTTTTTAAGATAAATGGATGAAGACCTCAGGGGCTTTGTTATATTTGCTAGATTATAGTTGGTGGTGTGTGTGTGGTTGGAGAAATGTTTCTGTAGATATATAGATTCACTAGTTTGGCCTCAAAAATAAAGATATCAACCCCAATCCAAAAGACAAAATTAAATACAGGAACTGGGTATGAGGTGATGAATAAAATCATTTGGTTAAGATTCAGGTCAAAGCCAAGTGTAGCTCCTGGATGTGCTCTCCAGACAATATTGATCTTCCAATACAATCTTCTGAGCCTCAGTTTCTCCATCTAAAATATGGAAGGGAACCATTAGAAAGACAGAAGGAGGGAAACTTGTTTAATGCTGTGCCTGAGATTTAATCTTTCAATAGAAGACACCCAGAATGTATACATAAACATGTAGTATAAATATAAAACAACTAACAAGAATAGAAATCCATACACTCCACTCTAAAATCCCAAACTCATTTTAGAATGTGATGGCCACCAAGATGGTCAAGATGAGACAGCAGTATGGTCAGTCTGTGCTGCTGGGATGTGGCATTGTCATTTATGTGTACACAGATATATGTGTGTCTGTGTGTTTGTATTACATCTCTTACCAGAGTCCACATCATGCTAATCAGTCTCACAGCTAAAGAGACCAAGACACAGAACTAAAATTTTTGTCTGTACACTACACCAATGAATTGATTCCTGGTGTTACTACAGAACACCAGGGAACATTTATTTTTAGCCTGAGTGAATGAACACAGTTTCCATCACTTTGAAGTTCATTTCCTTGGCCTTTTATTGGTGAGATTGTCAGCTCACTATAACTCACCTCCAAAGACAGTGCCTTCTTTCATTCGCAAATGCACCCCAGCTCCTCCTCATCATCACGTGCCTGGCTCCTCTGAAGTCTCCATCCTCATGCTGAATGCAAGCTGCAGAGTTGCTCTCTCTCCTGGTTTTTATATCCAAATAGTGTTTGGACCAACACTTGTCAGTTTCCTAAGAACTACAGACATAAACCTAGGATTTGATCACAAATGAGATTATCTTCTTGTGAGAATTATATTTTCCTTCAAAGCTACATAGTTAATGTTACTTGCTTTATTTAAACATCTTGAGAATGATGTTTGTCCTTAGCTTGGAGGAATACAAAGACTGATCAGAAAATGTGTGTTTAAATCTAAAAAAAATTGTTACAGTATTTTATGGCCTTTAACCCCCTCACAACACTCCCCCTAGCTTTGAACACACTTATCCCATTGCTCTTACCATTTTCTGAAGCATTTCTTGAAGTCCTCTTTCATGAATGTCTTTACAAGGTATCATCAAAACTATAGTGAATGCTGCTGCTGAGGGCAATGTAATGGAAAAGCGGGCTTGCAGAAACCTTTGGTGTGTTCTCATCCACTTTATGCACTGGGTCTGGCACCATGTGACTTCTACCTCTTCCTCAATGTCAAAATGGCCATGAAAGGTATTGATTCAGAACATGGAGGGAGCCAGGACAGCCCAACTAAAAGTATTCATGGGGAAAGACCTGCAGAACTGGTCCTATCACCACAGACACTGATCATGTCTTTGTGGTAAAAACAATAGCGCCCCCCTTTCTCACCTTCACCCCTTCCCCAAAGTGACTTAAGCAGCATTTCCCTCATGAGTTCTGACCACAGCATTATTGTTGGCTCATAAACTTCCCCAGATTGCCACCTTTCCTAGGGACTTTTCCTTTCTACAGACCCTCCCCTCCTAGGGATCTTTCCCTCCTAGGTGGTGTGAGGATCCTTCTCTGAGATGGAATTAGCAGACCAGGGTTTCAGACAGGGCCACAGACAGCTGTGAGATCTTAAACAACTAATTCAACTTCCCTGGGCTTCAGTCTCCCCTTTGTAAAATGAATAGGGAGGGCTTAGGGATAGATCTTGATTCCCACAGTCCTTCCAGTGTTAAAATGTGTGATTCTAACCCCTGATAACCAGAAGCTGGAGAAACAATGTGCTTCTTTCCTCCTTTGAATCTCTCATCTGCCTGCATGGCCTGTGGAAGGGTACAAATAAAGCCAAAGAAATTCCAGTCTGCGGCACGCTGCAGGAGACCCTGCTTCCCTCGCAGAGCCTGCCTTTTTCACAGATACCATGGCCACAGCTTTTCCCAGGGAGGAAGTGGGACTCAGCCCAAGGTTGTCGACTGGGGCCTGGGAACCCAAGATCCGCATCCCAAGTGTGGCCAGGGTGAGAAGAATCGTGTGCCAGGCTGCAGCCCTCCCTGTATTCCTGGGCACCGCTGCCAACAGCCACTTTCATCAGGGCTGACAGGCCTGGCCATCAGCACTTTCCCACAGCCCCTGGCTGCTAAAAGGAGTCCTTGCCATGACAGTCACACAAAGAATCAGCTTTTGTCTGCCTTTACTTTCTTGTGCATGAGACCTTTCCTTCTGTTCCCTCTAGCCCGTTCTGGCTAGAGAGTAAACCCCAGCAGTGCAAGCTCCGTCTCTGCTGACCTCTCAGGATAAGACCCTGTGCCGGCCATTTCTACTGTTTCCCAAATTACTTTCCCTGATAAACCTGAAAAGTTTGCAACTGCTGCTTTGGGGACACAGTTCAAGTTTGGGAAAGACGTGGTAGTGGCATTTCATTCTAAAGGACTAAAGAGAGTCATTTGATCCAGTCCAAAATAAGACAAACAGTTTGAAAGATTTGCTACAAAAAAAATCTATTAAACTCTTAACTTCCTATTCTCATAATACCTGTCCCTTTCTGAGTCATTTGTTTCTCACCAGGTGTGCTTTAAACTCATGCTAGGAAATGATAAGGAATCTCCAGATGGTAGAAGACTATGGTCTTACAATCCCACACACTCTTGCGGGACATTGTTTCATAAGTGTCTAATGAGATGTTGTCAAAAATATATGGAGACTTCCGGGAGAACATGGCGGACAGATAACAGCAACTACCGGAGGCTCTCTGAAAGACTCGGCTCAGAAGCCAGGAATGGTGCGGACTAAGGAAACATAAGCAGGTGGAGATATGCTCTGCTGACTCAGGAACGAACTGGGCTGAGAGAAACCAACTTGGAATGCAGTCCTGGCGCTAAAACAGGAACAGAAAAGCCTCGGTGTGGAGGCTGGACCCCGCGCCATTGTAAGCCGCGATTTGGGTTTCCCGCCGCGCAGTGGCTGGCTGCCTCTACAGTGGCTCAGGAAGGAGAGAGACGCGCAGAAGCTCTGAGAACGGCAATCTGCGAACAGCAGAGAGGCGTGCACTGACTTGTGGTGAGGTGAGCGAGAGAAACTGACACTCTACCACAGTTTGACTCCAGCAGAGGACTTTCTGGGCCCGAGCAGTCCTGCAGGAGGAGGGCGCGGTGGCGACTCCAGCCACACATCGCCCTCTCGGGCAGGATTGGTGAAAAGTGCCTGGCCTGCGTGACGCTGCCGGTGGACCTGGTAGGCTGTCCCAACCCAGATCCCAGAGCCTGACGGTGGCCGGGAGGGGAGACGCGTAGGCTGCCTGGTCCGTAACTCCCTGGTGCGCAGCGGTGAGCGGGAAGACCTAACTGGCACAATTCGATCAGGCTGTGGCTGACTGGGAGAGAAGCTGGGCCTCTTATATAAGCTTGCATATATAAGGAACAGAGAAGAAGAGGCAGCATGGGAAGAGGCAGCAACAAGAAAGGCTCCTCGGCCCCCAATTCTGAGAATCAGGCAATAGCAGACACCGCACCAATACACATAAGGCGCCATATAGAGAGCCTCATAGACCAATTCAGGAATGAAGTTATCAACGACCTGAAGCTAGAAGTATGCAGAATAGTTAGAGAAATGCTAAGTACCACCCAAGAAAAAACAGGTGGTGGAATGGAAGAACAGAAAAAAAGGGGAGAATTGTTTGATGGAGAAAACAGAGAAAGCATAGAATACGTGAAGCAGGTTCAAAGGGACTACCAAGATACTAAGAAGTCTATCGAAGACTGGCATAACAGCTTGAAAGAAACTAAGGACAGAATATCTGAACTGGAGGGCAGACTTGTAATATGGGAGAATGAAATGAAAAACTTCTTAAAAATAACAAAGAAACAAACAGCAATAATACAAAGACAAGAAGATGATAAGAGGATCCATAACTTAAGGATTAAGAACATAAAAGAAGAAGTAGGGACACAAACAAGTGAACTACAAAAGCTACTCACAGAAATAATCCAGGAGAATTTTCCTAATTTAGCAAAAGGTAAAGATACTCAGATGTATGAGGCATACAGGACCCCAGCTACCTACAACCCAAACAGAGCAACACCCAGGCATATAATTATAAAAATTCCAGAAATTCAATACAAGAACAGAATATTAAAAGCTGTCAGAGACAAGAAACAGACCACTTACAAGGGAACACCCATCAGAATTACAGCAGATTTCTCTGCACAAACCATCAAATCACGAAGAGCGTGGGGGGAAATAATTCAAGCTTTGAAAGATAATAATCTCCAGCCAAGATTGAGATATCCTGCACAACTGTCCCTGGAAATTGATGGAAAAACAAGGTGCTTCCAGGATAAAGAGGAACTGGGGGAATTTGCAACCACCAATTCAACTCTACAGAGAGTATTGCAGGATATTCTAAAAAAAGAAAAATACAAAGAATCCAGAAATAATGGCAGAGAGGCCACAACGAATGGAGCAGAGAACAAAATGAAGAAGACAAACTGACAGCTACTGACAGAAAAAGAGCTCAACAGAAATGAGGCAGAGAAGATTGGATGATAGGAACAGCTATTTTGGAGAAAATGACATCTTAATAGGTAATACTGATTTAGTATCATCTTGGTTTGAAGTCTCATCTAGCTTTTGTCCTTCTGTCTCCAATGGTCTAAATAGGCTGTATCTTATTGGATTTTATTATGTACGATAGTATAAGCAAAAACCTTTTAAAGACAAGGAGATTATACAGAAACCATTGTTCATTTTCTGTTAGTCAATTCTAAATACTCTGTAATGCTGTCATTCTCTTGAATGGTTTTACATTGTTTTGATATACTTAATGCTACAGTATACGAAGTTGTACTCAAGGATTTCAAAGAAAGAGACAATATGGTAACTACTTTTAGGTTAGGATTATCTGGTGGTGAAACACTATTCTGCTTAAATGGTTATATTTTGATCTGCGCTGTTTCGTTGTTATGCCCTCTTTTATCTCATTCTCCACTCCATTATTTACTTTTTTATCTTTATCCTTTTAATTAAAGGAAAAAAAATAGCAGGATATATTATAGTAACCCACTTTGACTTTTCATTACCTTGATTTAAAGCCCTGTATTACTCTCACCATCTGGTTTTTAACTGATGTTCCCCTATTCTGTTTTGTTGGATAGTATCAGGTTCGAAAGTTTAGGCATCAGCTGTGAAGATAATGAGATTCATTATGACGCCCATTCTCGTTGACTTTTATCTACTTTTGAAGACCTACAATGTCTCCAATGTTTTGGTTTTGTCGGTATTATTCTTTACTGTTTTATTCAATTGTATTATAACTAACGATATAGGCAATTCATTAGAGATAGCGGGAGGCATTATGGTAACCATTGTGGATCACCTTGTATTATGTTTTTACATTATCTATTATGCCCACCCTTTTGACTTGACCGATTCTGTTCTGTTATGTCACATTTGGTTTTACTCTCTTCCAAAAAAGTAATAAGAACCGTGGGAGCAATGAAACCCAAAATGTGTAATAGTCATGGTACAAAAGAGAGGAAAAGAAAGTGCTCCAAACTATATAACTGCATGTATATTTAAGTGTATAAGATAGAAAATGATATCACAGAGTTTTATTGGATCAATGAACAGAACTGTTTGCAGTATCATTGATGGAATGTCCACTTTACAAGCTTTAATTTTGTGACTTGAACAATTATTTCTAAGATGACAATATGTAATCCATTAACTAGTGATTTCCTACTGTTCATTTTTTTTCTGTAAATCTGTATAACTTGTACCCTTTCCCTGCTTTTTTTTTTCTTTTCTCCTAAAA